GATTCTGCCAACAATGAAAATTTTTATCCAAGAACTACAAAGTTAAAAGAGCTGCCACAGACTGGGCGAAGATGTTTGTAATGCAAATAGACATAGGCTTAGTATCTAGAATATATACAAAGAAGTCCTGAATAAGAAAATGAAAAACAACTTTAGTAGAAAAACAGAAGACAATTCACAGGACATGAAACCAAATAAACATATGAAAAAGATGTTCAACTTCACCACCAGTTGGGGAAATACAAATTAAAACAAGATGCCATTTCACCTCCATCAGGCTGGAAACTGGGCAAAGATATAAGAAAACATGAACTTCATAACTGCTGGGGGGGATGTCCATTGGTGTAGCCATGGGGGCAGCAATATGGAAATGACAGAGGTGAAGACAAGCCTATGACGCAGTGACGCCTCTGGGTCTATTCCCTAGAGAAACACCCCCCTCCCCCGGGCACAAAGAGACATGTTCAAGAATGTTCACTGCAGTATCACTTATGATAGTAAAAAATGAGATACAGTTTAAGTGCAAATCAGTGGAGGAACGGGAAATAAACTGCAGTTGCTTAAGCATCTGTTAAAATGCATGAACTTGAGCTATATGTATCAACACGGACAAACCTAAAATACAGAATAATGAGTTGACAATATGACACCTATGTAATTTTTCAAAACACAAAAAACCATATTATATATTGTTTACCGCTACATATGTACACAGATGTTTTAAAATGTGGATGGAAAGGATAAATATAAAATTCAGGACAACTGGTTACCCCAGGGAGGAATGGGACTGGGAGACCTAACTAGGGATTTAAATGGTATCAGAAAAACACGATTTCATACATGCACGCTGCTCCTACGTGGGTTTTACACTGTGAAGCACGGCATACACTTAACAAATATTTATTGAATTCCTACTCTGTGCTAAGCAATATTCTAGGTGCCTGGAATGATCACATGAACAAAACAGATAAAAATTTTTGTCCTTTTGAAATCTGCATTCTAATGGGGAGGGGCCAGTGAATCTGTAAGTATGAAATATATGTGACAGATGATGCTGTCTGATGTGGAACGAACCAGAGCAGGAGAGAGAGCCCGGCAATCCTGGGTGGGGAAGGGCCGCACGTTACATAGGGTGACGGGGAAGTCCTGTTTAGGGAAAAGGCCTGCAGGAGGCACCGGCGGGACCTCTCTGAGGACTGCTGGGGCAGAGGGCATCGCAAAGGCTCTGGGACAGGGCTGCGAGAACAGCATGGAGACAGCGTAGCTAGAGCAGAGAAAGAGAGAAAAGCGGGGAGGGGAGCCGGTTGTGTGGATCATGGGGAAAGCCAGGTCTTGGGTCGTAAAGGGAGGACTCAGTTGGACCCAGCAGGCTGGGGGAGCAGGGTGGGAGCAGAGGGACTGGCAATAATCTGAGCAAACATGGATGGATTCTGGGCAGATCTGGGAGGAACGGCTGGCAGGATTTCTGATGGGTGGACGTGGATGTGAAGGAGAGTGTCACAGAGGACTCCTGGGTTTGGGGCCTGCATCTGGAAGGATGGAGGGAGGTTGAGAGAATGTGGGAGGGGCAGGCTTTGAAGGGAAGAGGAGGAGCAGGCTTTGGGTGTGTTCGGTACGAGATGTCTGTGGACAAGCAAACAGACGCTGGCCAGGCAGCTGGGGGTGTGGAAGTCGGGTAGAGGCACAGGCTGGAAGAGCACTTTCCCAGATGGTAAGCACGGCCCTAAGACCCCATGGGATAATGAGAGCCGGGCACCCAGGAAGGGGAAGAGGTGTGAGCTGAGGGAACTCCAACACTGAGAGGCCTTCCAAGACCAACAGGAACCAGCAAAGAAAGAGCGGTAGGGTGGGGAGGAGGAAAACCAGGAGCGTTAAAAGATGTGACTCAGCTGGGCACAGTGGCTCATGCCTGTAATCCCAACGCTTTGGGAGGCTGAGACAGGAGGATCGCCTGAGGCCAGGAGTTCAAGATCAGCCTGAGTAACATAGTGAGACCCCTGTCTCTACAAAAAGAAATTAAAAATATTAGCCCGGTATGGTGGCCCATTCCTGCAGTCCCAGCTACTTGGGAGGCTGAGGCAGGATCCCTTGAGCCCAGGGGTTCGAGGTTGCAATAAGCTATGATCACACCACTGCACTCCAGCCTGGGCAACAGAGAGAGAATCCATCTCTTAAAAAAAATAAAAGTAACTCTAGGAGGAGAGAGTGATCAACAGTGGCAAATGCTACAAACAGGCCAAGAAAGAAAACAGACCTTTTAGCACCACGGGGTCACTGGTGACAGAGCTAGGAAGGGTTTTGGTGGAAGGGCTTTGAGAGAGTGGGAAGGGAGGGGTGGGAAACAGAAGCAGAGACACTGTCCCGTGGGATCCGCCAGAGGAGAGCAGAGGGCAGGGCAGTGGTGGAGGGGGATGGGGCTGAAGCCGGATTGTCAGGGTTGCCCTTGAGAAGGCGGCACAGGTGGGATCTGGTGCAGGTGGAAGGGGCCTTTGACTGGAGGACTGACAGTTCGGCAGTCACGGGAGCCAGCGCAGAGAAGAGGGGCCCAGGTGCAGGCAGATGGGGCGGGGAGGGCTGTGAGTGTGGTGCGCTTCTTTTTAATTAAAAAAATAGTTTAAAAAAAAATCCAAAAACCATTCTCAGCTTGTGGACCACACAGAAAGAGACGGGCTAGGTTTGGCCCTTGGGACATAGTTTGCCGACCCCTGGGCTAGGGAGGTGGCTGAGGAGCTGCAGTGACTGCAGGGCAGGGAGTCCACTGAAGCCACTGGCCGTGAACGTCAGGAGACCAGCGGCTCGTGGGGTTTTCTCCAGCCACACAGCTCCTCGGGTACAGGCAAAGAACAGGCAGACGGACTTCACCAGGAGGGACAGCAGGAGTCAGGAGTGGTGTGCTGGAAGTGGGGAGGATGGACAGGGTGTCATCCAGTCACAGGGACCACTGTGGGGGCAGGTGGAGGATCGTGTGTGTGGAAGGTGCCATCGCCAAGAGTGAGGGCAGGAAGGGATGCGGGAGGGAAGGTGCCCAGAGGTCTGCAGAAGGCAGCAGAAAGAGGGCTGAGACCCACAGGCGGGGTTCCTAGAGAGGAGGGAGTGAGACCAGCAAAGCGGCGATTACGAGCAGCAAGGACACCCACCTTGCAGGCCAGGTGGCTTGGGGGACATGGGGAAGAGGACAACAGCATGCAGGGGGCTCAGGGCAGGGCTCAGCCTGAGCAGGAAGGGGCAGGAACATCCAGGACCTAGTGGGTCTGGCTGGGCGCTGAGTCCTGCCAAGCTCAGTGGAGAGCTTTGCAGGAGGTGAAGAGAAGGGGAGCCAAGGTCTGACGAGGACACGGACCAAGCAAAATGGGGATGAGGGATGAGCTGGGAGTCATCCCTCTTCCTGGACCAGAGAGGACAAGGACAAAGGCCACAAGGGATTCCTGCTGACAGGCTCGAGGTGGACAGTGGGTTTGCTGGGGAGTCTCACCAGCAGCTGGCATATTTCTGAGCTCTTCTGCGCTGTCATTAGTGATGGTGCGGAAGCCAGGGAGGCTTCCACACACGTTATAAACACAACGAAACCCACCCACCGTGGATCTTCCGCCACGAGTAAGAGTCTGGAAGCCGCCCTTTCCATCCAGACAGTATCTGCTCTCAGTCACCTTTCTGTTCTCCAGCTTTCAGCACTGGCCTCGGCACCCAGATTCTCAAAATACATTTGCTGAACTAAACTGGCAAATGCATTAATGAATGCGGCCCTGTGGTCAGCTCTGCACATGCTTCTGCCCTTGTAAAGTGAAAAATCTCATCGAGATGAAACACACACATGCAAGACACATTTAATCCAACACGAGTTAAACACAGGAAGACTTTTGAGTAACCAGGTGTCGGATGAAAGGGAAACCCAAGGCGAGTGAGACAGTCAAGGAGGTCTTCTGCAGGAATCAGGGGTCGGGCCTGGCAGAGACGGAGTCTCCCTGGTCAAACGACCCAGCAAGGTCTTCACTTCAGTAATTTGGTTTTTCTCACACATCCACCTGTCCTTCCCTTAACTTTCACAGGTACTGACCGGCTCCAGGAAAACTGAGACACTGCTATCTGGTATTCAGATTCACCTTAAATGAATTTGTGGTTCTAATCCTATTGGACCATATGGCTAACCAACGGGTTTATGTTCTGCAACTACTAATGGATTTAAATGCAATTTGGTTCTTGGATGGAGGCAGGGCTGACTCTTTGCAAATCTATGAATTAATTTTGCTTTTGATATACGGTTGACCCTTGAACAACATGGGTTTGAACTGTGCCAGTCCACTTGTACATGGATTTTCTTCCACCTCTGCCACCCAGGACAGCAAGAGCAACCCCTCTTCTTCTTTCTGTTACTCGGCCTGCTCAATGTGAAGACGATAAGGATGAAGACCTTTATTATGAGCCACTTCCACTTAATAAATAGTAAATACATTTTCTCTTTCTTAGGATTTTCTTAATAACATTTTTTTTTTCTCTAGCTTACTTTATTGTAAGAATACAGTACGTAACACATAGAACATATCAACAAAATATGTGTTAATAGACTGTTTATGTTACTGGTAAGGCTTCCAGTCAACAGCAGGCTATTAGTAGTTAAGTTTTTGGGGAGTGAAAAGTTCTATGTGGATTTTCGCCTGCATGTGAGGCCAGTGTCCCAACCCCCATCCTGTTCAGGAGTCAACAGTTCTCCTACCTGCCCTCTCGGCGTCCTCCTCCCTCTGCCCCTAATTCTGTGCCACTGGTTCTCTTTCCTAAAAGACTAGGTTTGCTGCCTCTTTCCCTGATGGAAAGTGTCAGTTTCTAGAGTATTAGTTGAGTAGGTTAGAGGTTATAACTCAACTATAAAACACTCAGATTTAAGACATTTAAGGTTGATGTTTCTCCTTGGCTCTCTTCTGGAAAGATCACACCTTCCCTGGCCCTTACTTTTCTGTTTCCAACTGATCACTTGCTGGCTCCCTGGCCTTCTCCCAGCCCCTCACCTGGACTTGGGTCCACAGGAACATCTGGGATCTTGGGGCCAGCGCGACGCCAGCTGCACGGCTCCTTTCCTTGTTCAATCTGGGAGAGGACCTCGGGCTTGGAGATGGCATAGTCTGAGGAAGGACAGAAAGGTTAGCTTTTGTCATGTCCAGTTAGGCTGGGAACAGTCAGCCTGGAAAACCAAGAATGGTCTAGAAACTAGATTTCTCAACTGATATAGAGCAGTGGCTCCAAACCATAAGCAATTTTGCTCCCCAGGGAACATTTGGCAAACTCTGGAAACAATTTTGACTGTCATGACCAGGGCTGGGAGGAGAGGTGCTACTGGCACCTGGCGGGTAGAGGCCAGGGATGCTGCTGAACATCCTACAACACAGGACAGTCCCTACCACAAACAATCATCTGGTCCAAAATGTCTGGGGTGCCAGAGTTAAGAAACTTGGTACAGAGGTGCACACTAAGAAGCAAGACAGTTCTTAACATCCGTCTGCACCTCCTCCCATCCTCGGCCTTATGACCTGCAGCTCTGGGGTCACACAGAAACCGTCAGGAAGAGGAAACCAGCCCCGGAAGAATTAGAGTCCAGGCCTTTCCTGGGAAGTACAAATGAGGAGAGCAGCAACAGCCCCAGGGTCTGGGGCAAGCAAAGCTCTGGGGCATGAAGAAATGATTTGCTGCAAGAAGCACGGTCCGCCCATGTTCTCTACTGACCCGGAGGCATGTCACTGTGAAGGCCACACATGTCTGCAAGAGAAGGCTAAAAGAAAAAGTCTTTCTCAAATGTGGGGTTGATTATTTACTGGGCACAGGAGCAGTAGGAGCCTTCTCCACTCCAAGTCTCAGCAAGAACAGAAAGGTCCATACTCCGGGCCTGGTTAGGAGAGGGGCATTCCGTGACCCGCAACTACCTGGGAGAAGGGAGCTTTGGACTCCACTGCCCAGGGCTCATCTTTCGCAGGAGGAAGTGGTAACTCCTTGCCAGATCAATGTTTCTAGTGATTTACATATTGCTGAGACAAAAACACTACAAGAAGCAAAAGAATGAGGACTTAAAAAAAATCCCACTTAACAGAGAAAGGAGTGCCAGGCCTTACCCAGGGAGACCAACGTCTCGTAGTTGCCCCTCATCACGTGCTTGTAGAGCTCCTTCTGCCAGTCCTCCAGCTTGCCCCACTCCTGCTCAGAGAAATACACGGCCACATCATCAAAGGTCACGGGCACCTGGAACCACAAGTGTGGCACACGCTCACCCACACGCTCACAGGCACCGCCCCTTGGGCTCCCCCAGCCCAGGGCACCCAGGGGGCTACCTTGGGGACCTCCCCTTTGCTGCCCGGGGGCAGCCGCAGGATCCAGAAGTTCCTGTTGCGCAGCAGGTTCTCCACGTTCTCCAGCCGCCGCTGCAGCAGCCCGTACTCCTGCAGCAGGGTCCCCAGCACGGCCCACTTGCCCTCCAGCTGGTTCCCGAACTCCACGGCCGTCTTCTCGCAGTCGGCCAGCTTCTTCTCAGCCATCCCGGTTCGACCTTCTAGAGAAAGCAAGCGGGCAGCCTGCGATTCAATCTTCCTCTCCATGGCCTGAATCGTAGCTGCCATTGTCCACGGAGAAATCTTTCAGAAATAAGAGAGAGAAACCCACATCACCCATTCTACCCAGTGTGTTCCTTGAGCCTATCTCCCCTAGACATGGGGGAGCTGGGCTGGGAGCAGGGAGCCCCTGTATGTGGAAAGTGGGGCTATCTTGTACCACATGCCAGATCTCAACTTGGCAATCACCTCCTTAGGGTGTCTTAGGTCTGGCCTGCGTCTGGGGGGTGCCTTTCCCCCAGGCCTCTGCAGCGCACTGTGCAGATTCCTATCCTGGTGCTGATCACCCTGTACGGTAATTCCCCACATGCCCTCACGCTGAGGGCTCCCTGGAGGTGGTACTGCATCTTTTCACAGCACAGAGCTTGACACATGGCAGGCGCTCGATGCAGTTTGGCCACATGGCAGTGACTTGGCATTGCTGGGGCGTTTTAGTGGAGAAATGGTAAACTGCAGATTTACTAGAGCCCGGCCTGCACCTCCCATCATGATTACACAGGAACTGTCTACTGGTGATGACCTAGCAAAAAAAACAGCTGGTTCACTGAAATGGCACAAACAAGAGTATTGCTCAATTTCTTTTCTTTCTTTTTTTTTTTTATAAAGCATCTCAAGCCCCTTTTTAATAAGCATAAAAATATAATGGCCAATTCCCCTTCCTCCAGGACAATCTGATTTTATCCCTTCCCCAACTGCCCCTTCCCCCACAAGCTAAAATCACCATTACTGCAAATCTCTACCAGCCAAGAGTTAGATTTTTCGACACTGCCTAAGCCTGCTAAGATTCTGACTTTTTCTTTCCCAATTCCCCACTTCCCAAGGTAAAAATAATAGTCTTAGGCATTTTTGTAGCCTAGGATCAGTGACAAACCCTACATTCTGGTGAGGAAGACAGACATATGCCACGAAGTTACACTTTTACACGTGCGGCAAATATCTTAAGTGGTGCTCCCTGCCACTGGAAACATTCGCACAGTGTCTTGAGTGACCAGCAGTTATGGACAATGAAGAAAAGGCACGTTTTGCTTTGGGCGGGGAGGTGGGCTATTCAACCCCATCTACGGAGACCCGAGGGGCAGGGAGGAGGTCCTGGGACTGGTGCCTTCCTCCGTCAGGGACTTAAATTCTGGAAAATCATTCCCAAATAAAAGGCTGGTGACTATTTGCAAAGTAAGGAAGTGGCTACTAGGAACCAGTACGGACTCATTTAGAGACAGTCACCGATAACTAGAATATGGAAGGACACCTCAGAAAACACAGACAAAAAGAATGTGAGCAGAGGCAGAAAAAAACCTGTCCAGGATAGTGCTCAAGAGGTTCTCTGCTTGTCTGGAAGGAAGCCAGATCTGAAGAAGGAAGGACTTATGGTCTCAAACGACGGGAAGTTCTGGATGGGCAGAGCCCGGTCTGGAGGAGAGAAACCAGATGTGGGCGTGAGGCTTGCTCACCAGCAGGCTCAGCCACCGGCTCTGCAAGGCCACTGTTCCCTCACCTCTCCGCTCTCTCACATCAGCCCCTGTCACATGGTCCAGACTCCAAGAGTTTACTCCAGAAGGTCCTTTCACATCAACATGCAGCTCCGGCTCCCCAGCCACTGAAACGCTACCCATCCTCCGAGTGCATTATTACAGTCTTTGTGTTGCATGAAAAGGGCATCTGCACAAATTCCCACTTTATTAAGAAAATATTACTCTTCAATACTTGAACAACAGGCCACAGTTTTAGTACCATTTTGATGGGGCCAGGAAGCCCTGTGTAAGGCTTTCTCATTACTTGGTGGGAGGTGGTGGCTGTGCTCTGCTCAATCAAGCCCAGCTCCTTACCGACTGGTGGCTAGATAACCATGGGGCTGTCCCCAAACTCTTTGCTTAAGAAGAGTTGATGGGCTGCCCACCCACGAAGTCCAGGCACCAAACTCCTGCCAACTCTCCCTGCAGCTCCTACCAAAACCATCTTTGCCAGGCTCATGGACTCCTTTCTGTTCCTGAACACGCCCCGCACTGTCCTCTCTCTGCCTTTGCCCAAGTACTTCTCCCTTCCTGAGAAGCTCCGCTGGCCTAGCTCCGCCTGATGAAATCCTAGCCTACCGTAAAAGCTCGCCCAAACCACAGAAGCAGAGCATCAGGCCCGGAAGGGTGGGCAGGGGTCCCCTGCACGCCCACCGTATGCTCCCACCGCAACGCCAGCGCTCGCCTCTTTCTGCTTTGCACGATTACTACCTGTGTACTGTCTGCTGGGTCCTTGAACACAGAGCGACTATGTTTTCACACTTCCCAGCTGTGTGATCCTGCGCAAGTTAACTTCTCTAGGCCCCAGGGTTTTCTTTTGTATGACAGATAATAATGGTACCTACCCCACAGGTTTGTTGCGGGGACAAAATAATGCCTAGGTGGGCTTGGTGCAGTGCCTAGCTCTATACACGGGAGCAAGTCCCTTTCGCGCCGGCCCGAGCGAGCTGGGCACGTAGTGGGCGCTCAGTGTATGCGGAATTGAAGCCGGACACCTCCCAGGTGCCACCAGGCCGCTGGGGGGAGCTGGGGGGAGGGAACGAACGGGCCGAGCGCTAGGCAGAGAAAGGAGCCGCGGGTGGGGGGCGCGGAGATGAAGGGACAGCGGCTGGGGCGGGGGCAGGAAGCCCCGTAGGGCAGCAGGAACTTGGTGTGGGGCGGCCCCCGGCGCGGGGACAACCGTTCCGCCGCTGCTCAGGCTCGGCCCGGAGTGGGGGGCCCGGCCGGCGGGCGCCGTAGGCCCGGGCGGACCCCGCGCTCCGCTCGCCGCAGCCCCAGGCCCGGTGGTCCGGCCCGGACCCCGGAACCCCTCCCCAGGGCCTGCGGCGCCGTGTGCTGGGCCCAGGCCGCCCGGGGCCCCGAGGCCGCGCGTCCGTGCGCGCCCCGGCCGCCCTTACCGGAGCCGCGGCCGCCTCGGCCATGGCCCTGCGCTGTCCGGCACGGCCCGGAGGAAATCGCCGCCGCCGCCGCCTCCGCCGCGCGCGGCCCCACGCAGGCCCGGCCGCTCGGTCCTCTCCGCAGGCGGCGCCGGC